CTGATTCTGACTATGAAGATCACAGCACACAAGGAGGTATCGTTACATTTAATCTCATCCGATCCAATGGTGAATACGTAGGATACATGGAAGTCTTAAATATGGCAGCACTATTCAAAATACATCTCAGAACAGGCTGTTTTTGTAATCCTGGTGCCTGTCAGAGACACTTATCCCTTTCTACTAAAGAAATTCTTCGAAATTACGAAGCAGGATATACATGCGGTGGTGCCGCAGATTTAATAAATGGAAAACCGACTGGAGCAGTAAGAATCTCCTTTGGATATATGTCTACGGTTCAAGATGTTCAGACAGTTTTACTTATGATCACAAAATGTTTCGTTGATAAACCATGCATCAGAAATTTCCACAATGGTGGGAAGAATATAAAATCAGAGTCCATAAAAAATACAGACACTTTTATAATTCTAACATCATAGATTATTCTATTCTACCTATTACAAATATTGAGAAAAATATTGCAAACAATAATTTGCGAAATAATTATCATAATAAAAGTGAAGGCGATTGTGTTAGAAATTCTAACAAATAATTAAACAAGTAAACAAATGTACTTTGCAACGATTATTTATATATCCTATCAAATCGTGTGTGTGCATATGAGATTATAGATTCATGGAATCTAAATTCAAAGGGTTTAGAATATGATAGAGAATGGATGATAATAACATCATCTGGAACTTGTTTAACACAAAAACACTATGTAAATTTATGTTTGCTTAAACCTATCATTTCCAAAAAGCAGGGAATTATGAAATTAACATATCCAGGTATTAAATTTTTACAAATTTGACTTTATAGTATAGTTTAACATACTATTATTTTAGTATAAATCATAATAAACGTTTTAAGGAATGCCAACAATTCAAATACCTTTAGAAAATACTTATGAAAACTCAACAGAACATCCTATATGTCAAAGCAGAGTATGTGGAAGTAGAGTACAAGGTATTGATTGTGGATCAGAAGTTTCCGAATGGTTAAGTTTGGCACTGGGTAAACCAAATCTTAGATTAATTCAACAAGTGATGAGAGACAAAAGAAAGGTACAATAAAAATATAGATGTGTATTATATAAATCTAGCTGTTATTGTATTAACTAAACTTTGTATTTTTTGCAGGAATAAATAAGACAGAACTATCATTTTCAAGTCAAGCACAGTATTTGGCAATAAATGAAACAAGTGTATCGTGGCTTGTTGATAGAGTATCTGATAATACAGATTTCAACAAAGACACAACTATACATAGATTTCGAGGAAACATTATTATAAAAGGCTGTGATGCTTTCGATGAAATGCAATGGGAATTTATTCGCATAGGAAATAATAATTTTAAAGTATGAATTAATTAAATTTATAATGTCTAAAATATATTGTTATATATATTAATTATTACAGGTAAATGGTCCTTGTACAAGATGTCAGATGATATGCATTGATCAAACAACTGGACAAAAAACCATTGAGCCATTAAGAACGTTAGCAGAAGAATTTCATGGAAAGCTGACATTTGGAATTTATTTAACGCGACTGGAGAATACACAAATTAAACTTAAAATTGGTGATCAGATTTATTATTCTTAAATGAATAATTATATAAAATAATTTCCAAATGATTAATTATCTGAACTTTATAAACAGATTGAAATTTAACATAAACCCCAAAAAACCTCTAAATATATTTTATATCAAGCATTTATAGCAAACCATTTATAATAAATAATTAAGTTTCCTTTTATACAATAAAAAATATTGTAAAATAAAATTGTGTACCTGATTTGTAATAAAAAGTATTTGTACTGTGTACTTATTATAAATGTATTTTCATAATAATACACAGTCCGCAGCCTGTTGTTGATCAATTTTTCTCACTGGTTTACCTGCCGATACATCTTTGATCATGTCTGCAACTGCGACAAAGTCAGGAAAGGCTAGCGTTTGAAGCTTTGAATATACCAGCTCATCATTGACTTGCACTTCAAAAGATGCTAAAAAAATAATAATTAAAAATATAATAAAAATAATAATTAAATATAATAATTAAAATAATAAGTAAGTTTATATTTTAATGTGCCTTAATTGTGAAAAAAACTTACCTTGCCTTCCCGCTGCACCAGCCACAGTAACATTGGGAACATTTTTTTTTATTTCCTCTGCCAGTTCTAGAAATTGTTTCTTGTGTCCACACGAGCCACTGCAAAATAACAGTAATTTATTTATACTTATAATACACACACAGTAATTTATTTATTATATAAACCTACAAGATATATATATTTACAATAAGTTTATCCATAAAAATTGCAATTAAAGTTGCTTGCAAAAGTTATAAAATAATGATAATCCTTATCATTATTTTTATTATTAATTCTATATTTATAAATAAAAGATGTATGTGTATATATACGATAAATTTTGAAATTGTGTAATGTCTACATCTAACCTAAAATTAACATAGATGAATAAAAAATCTTCTCAGATAATTATATACCAATATTCAACGTCAACTTTTACGTCTGCTTCTTCCGTCATTTTATCATATTTTACGTTACAAACAATCGTTGTATTTTTAATTCGCGTAAATAGTTTATTGTTCGTTTGGCCGCTAAAAATTATATAAAATACACAGATAGCGCAACTGTCAATGTTGGTAAGATTAGGGAAGAAGAGGGAAAAATAAAGTCTGGTAGAAGACATCATGTCGATTCGAGCGCGAACCGTTTCGTATTTTTCGCGTTCATTTAAAACCATTTAAAAAAAAAGTGAATATACAATATATATATATATTCTAAATACGACTGAGCATGAGAATTTAACATTTCTTAAAACTGGTCACTTTTAAAATTTTTCGCTTCGAAATCGACATTGATCTATCTTCGCTTAAAGATTTTTATTCGCACTTGAAAATGTCGACTGTTAAATATATTAACGTAAATGTGGCACCAGAGTTTGTAAAATTAATTTTTAATACGGAAAACGACAGCATTTCGATCGCAAGCCTCGTCAATGTAAAAATCGAAATTTAAAATTGTGACCGAACTTAAAAATAAAGCAAATCCAAATACGCAGTATTATTTAATATCGTTTCTAATTGTGGAAAGTGATTTTCGTTTCGCTTGTAGTTGTACGCTTTAAAAATACAGTAGTTTAAATAAAACAGTCATAGTATATTATCTATAAATTTCAAAATTCTCGAATTCTGCTTTTACATAAATATATTTTCCGATTGTAAATGTTCTAAACATAAAAAATCAATTCTAAATACGACAAACATAAAAATTTAAAATTTTTTAAAATTAAACACATTATAAATTTTTCTCTTTAACACCGAAATCGATCTATCATCGCTTAAAGACTATGAACGCACTTGAAAATGTTTTTTAATATATATTAATGTTAATCTAACAGCTGACTATAAGGAATTAATTTTTTAATATCGAACATGATAGTACGTCGATCGCTCGCGTCGTCAGTGGAAAATCAAAAGTTCAAGTTTTTCCCCAAATTGAAAATAACGCAAATCCAAATCAACAGTCTTATTAAGAATCGTTTATAAATGTGTGAACTGAATTTCGTTTCGCTTTAAGTTGCACGTTTTAAAAAATACAGCAGTTTAAACAAAACTGTCACAAATAAATTTTTTCAAATTGAAAATAACGCAAATCCAAATCAGCAGTCTTATTAAAAATCGTTTATAGATGTATGAACTGAATTTCGTTTCGCGTTAAGTCGCACACTTTAAAAAATACAGCAGTTTAAACAAAACTGTCCAAAATAAATTTTTTAAATTTCAAGATTTTTAAATTCTGCTTTCTACATCGATGTAACATTCGAAGGCGAATGTCCCGAACCACAAGAAACGATTCTAAACACGACTGAGCATGTATATTTCACATATCTTAAAGCTTGTCACTTTTACATTTTTCGCTTGCACATCGAATTCGATCTAACTTCGCTTAAAGACTTTGAACGCACTTAAAAATGTGTTTTTAATATATATTAATGTAAATCTGACAGCTGACTATAAGGAAATAATTTTTATAATACCGAAAATGATAGTACGTCGATCGCTCGCGTCGTAAGTGGAAAAATCAAAAGTTCAAGTTTTCCACAAATTTAAAATAACGCAAATCCAAATCAGCAGTCTAATTAAGAATCGTTTATAAATGTGTGAACAGAATTTCGTTTCGCTTTAAGTTGCACACTTTAAAAAATACAGCAGTTTAAACAAAACTGTCACAAATAAATTTTTTCAAATTGAAAATAACGCAAATCCAAATCAGCAGTCTTATTAAAAATCGTTTATAGATGTATGAACTGAATTTCGTTTCGCGTTAAGTCGCACACTTTAAAAAATACAGCAGTTTAAACAAAACTGTCCAAAATAAATTTTTTTAAATTTCAAGATTTTTAAATTCTGCTTTCTACATCGATGTAACATTCGAAGGCGAATGTCCCGAACCACAAGAAACGATTCTAAACACGACTGAGCATGTATATTTCACATATCTTAAAGCTTGTCACTTTTACATTTTTCGCTTGCACATCGAATTCGATCTATCTTCGCTTAAAGACTTTGAACGCACTTAAAAATGTGTTTTTAATATATATTAATGTAAATCTGACAGCTGACTATAAGGAAATAATTTTTATAATACCGAAAATGATAGTACGTCGATCGCTCGCGTCGTAAGTGGAAAAATCAAAAGTTCAAGTTTTCCACAAATTTAAAATAACGCAAATCCAAATCAGCAGTCTTATTAAGAATCGTTTATAGATATGTGAACTGAATTTCGTTTCGCTTTAAGTCGCACATTTTAAAAAATACAGCAGTTTAAACAAAACTGACAAAAATGAATTTTTTCAAATTGAAAATAACGCAAATCTAAATCAGCAGTCTTATTAAGAATCGTTTATAGATATGTGAACTGAATTTCGTTTCGCTTTAAGTCGCACACTTTATAAAATACAGCAGTTTAAACAAAACTGACAAAAATGAATTTTTTCAAATTGAAAATAACGCAAATCCAAATCAGCAGTCTTATTAAGAATCGTTTATAGATATGTGAACTGAATTTCGTTTCGCTTTAAGTCGCACACTTTAAACAATACAGCAGTTTAAACAAAACTGTCAAAAATGAATTTTTTCAAATTGAAAATAACGCAAATCTAAATCAGCAGTCTTATTAAGAATCGTTTATAGATGTGTGAACTGAAATTCGTTTTGCTTTAAGTCGCACACTTTAAAAAATACAGCAGTTTAAACAAAACTGTCAGAAATAAATTTTTTCAAATTGAAAATAACGCAAATCCAAATCAGCAGTCTTATTAAGAATCGTTTATAGATGTGTGAACTGAATTTCGTTTCGCTTTAAGTCGCACACTTTAAAAAATACAGCAGTTTAAACAAAACTGTCCAAAATAAATTTTTTTAAATTTCAAGATTTTTAAATTCTGCTTTCTACATCGATGTAACATTCGAAGGCGAATGTCCCGAACCACAAGAAACGATTCTAAACACGACTGAGCATGTATATTTCACATATCTTAAAGCTTGTCACTTTTAAATTTTCGCTTGCACATCGAATTCGATCTATCTTCGCTTAAAGACTTTGAACGCACTTAAAATGTGTTTTTAATATATATTAATGTAAATCTGACAGCTGACTATAAGGAAATAATTTTTATAATACCGAAAATGATAGTACGTCGATCGCTCGCGTCGTAAGTGGAAAAATCAAAAGTTCAAGTTTTCCACAAATTGAAAATAACGCAAATCCAAATCAGCAGTCTTATTAAGAATCGTTTATAGATATGTGAACTGAATTTCGTTTCGCTTTAAGTCGCACACTTTAAAAAATACAGCAGTTTAAACAAAACTGTCAAAAATGAATTTTTTCAAATTGAAAATAACGCAAATCTAAATCAGCAGTCTTATTAAGAATCGTTTATAGATGTGTGAACTGAAATTCGTTTCGCTTTAAGTCGCACACTTTAAAAAATACAGCAGTTTAAACAAAACTGTCAAAAATAAATTTTTTCAAATTGAAAATAACGCAAATCTAAATCAGCAGTCTTATTAAGAATCGTTTATAGATATGTGAACTGAATTTCGTTTCGCTTTAAGTCGCACACTTTAAAAAATACAGCAGTTTAAACAAAACTGTCAAAAATGAATTTTTTCAAATTGAAAATAACGCAAATCTAAATCAGCAGTCTTATTAAGAATCGTTTATAGATGTGTGAACTGAAATTCGTTTCGCTTTAAGTCGCACACTTTAAAAAATACAGCAGTTTAAACAAAACTGTCAGAAATAAATTTTTTCAAATTGAAAATAACGCAAATCTAAATCAGCAGTCTTATTAAGAATCGTTTATAGATGTGAACTGAAATTCGTTTCGCTTTAATCGCACACTTTAAAAATACAGCAGTTTAAACAAAACTGTCAAAAATAAATTTTTTCAAATTGAAAATAACGCAAATCCAAATCAGCAGTCTTATTAAGAATCGTTTATAGATATGTGAACTGAATTTCGTTTCGCTTTAAGTCGCACACTTTAAAAAATACAGCAGTTTAAACAAAACTGTCAAAAATGAATTTTTCAAATTGAAAATAACGCAAATCTAAATCAGCAGTCTTATTAAGAATCGTTTATAGATATGTGAACTGAATTTCGTTTCGCTTTAAGTCGCACACTTTAAAAAATACAGCAGTTTAAACAAAACTGTCAAAATGAATTTTTTCAAATTGAAAATAACGCAAATCCAAATCAGCAGTCTTATTAAGAATCGTTTATAGATATGTGAACTGAATTTCGTTTCGCTTTAAGTCGCACACTTTAAAAATACAGCAGTTTAAACAAAACTGTCAAAAATGAATTTTTTCAAATTGAAAATAACGCAAATCTAAATCAGCAGTCTTATTAAGAATCGTTTATAGATGTGTGAACTGAAATTCGTTTCGCTTTAAGTCGCACACTTTAAAAATACAGCAGTTTAAACAAAACTGTCAGAAATAAATTTTTTCAAATTGAAAATAACGCAAATCTAAATCAGCAGTCTTATTAAGAATCGTTTATAGATGTGTGAACTGAATTCGTTTCGCTTTAAGTCGCACACTTTAAAAATACAGCAGTTTAAACAAAACTGTCAAAATAAATTTTTTCAAATTGAAAATAACGCAAATCCAAATCAGCAGTCTTATTAAGAATCGTTTATAGATATGTGAACTGAATTTCGTTTCGCTTTAAGTCGCACACTTTAAAAATACAGCAGTTTAAACAAAACTGTCAAAAATAAATTTTTTCAAATTGAAAATAACGCAAATCTAAATCAGCAGTCTTATTAAGAATCGTTTATAGATGTGTGAACTGAAATTCGTTTCGCTTTAATCGCACACTTTATAAAATACAGCAGTTTAAACAAAACTGTCAAAAATGAATTTTTTCAAATTGAAAATAACGCAAATCCAAATCAGCAGTCTTATTAAGAATCGTTTATAGATATGTGAACTGAATTTCGTTTCGCTTTAAGTCGCACACTTTAAAAAATACAGCAGTTTAAACAAAACTGTCAAAAATAAATTTTTTCAAATTGAAAATAACGCAAATCTAAATCAGCAGTCTTATTAAGAATCGTTTATAGATATGTGAACTGAATTTCGTTTCGCTTTAAG